CTCACCGCCAACTCTTTTACCAACGAATAATGGGATTGACCGTCACATTATAACGCTGAAAGGCCGAGCATGTTTGGTGTGACGGGGATTCGAACACGCGACCCGCAGATTGTGAGGCGAGCGCCCTAACCACCTGGCCATGCCGGGCCGTGGGTGATTATAATCAACTGACCAATGGCTATGTTTTAAATTTACAATAATGACAAACAAACAGTCACAGTTCGAAAAAAAATCAAATAATTTATCTAAACGATTCGGGCTATCTGCTGTGTCCACCGAGGGGAATCGAACCCCTGATTCTAGCGTTGTAAATCCAAAGACTTACCCCTGTCCCACCGGGGGACAACTGGACGTTACATTACCAGTGTATCTCAGATAATTTATTAGACTGTTGTAAAGGTTACAGTTTCTCAGTCACGTGGTGGTTAAACCTAAACAGTTACTCAGTTAACCTAACGGTTGCGAATCACTGGTTGCTTAAAGACTTGTGAAATGATTAGAGCCTTCTGACAAAATGTAAGCAACTATATAAATCTGAATTACAATAGTTTAAAATAACAAATAAGTTATTCCAGTACAATAAATTACATGGAAACGCTGAATGAATCAATAACACTAGAGGCGAACAACCAATAATGATTAGATTGCACTAAATCAATAGTTGGACACGTACTTTGGTGACGACATTTTCGGCCACAATCCCAATAATATCTCACGAAATTCATCCAGATTAGAAGATTTAAGCTTGTCTTACAGCTATGCACTGAGTCAACATTGCAAAATAATAATTGAAAATTCATCCAGATTAGAAGATTTAAGCTTGTCTTACAGATATGCACTGAGTCAACATTGCAAAATAATAATTGAAAAATATTGATCAACAGGGTCGTTTGTTTGGTGTTAAGCAAAAAAAAAACTGCATGAAAACTATCTGTGCTGTCTCAATCGCAAATATTGAATATTAGAATACATTTAGTCTTCTTAACTCACCGGTTTTAGCACACTCAGTTGTTGCTGAAGTTGTGTTTCTAATTCTGATTTTTGATCTAATGAGTTCTGAAGCTGGTTCTCCTAAAAATATAATGTTTAATTTCACATAAATATAACAATTATAAACATAAAATATTATTATCCAAACAGAATAGTTTACGAGTACAGATAACCAATAACTAATAAAGACATAAGGTTTAAGTATGATAAAAACAAAATAAATGCTCTACATATCTGTGTAAGTTAACGCCCAAATTTCCACATTTTATGTTTTTGTTTCAGAGTTAACGCATAGATACAAAAGGACTATCTTCGCATAGTCGTCCCTAATTTTGAACTGATAGACCAGAGAAAAGACAGTTTGTCGACAAAACTCACCACCAACGCTTAAGCTGCTCTTTTCTAGACCGAATAGTGAGTGAGACCTAGTCACCACCACTTTTGTGACAACGCAAGAATGTTTGGGTTTTACAGTATGGACACATTAAGTGCTAGACCACGCCCAACCCAGATGTTTTTCGATAAGTAACTTGTTGTTGTTTATTATTAAGTACAAAGCTACACATAGGGCTATCTATGCTCTGCCCACCACGGGTATCGAAACCCGGTTTCTAGCGTTGTAAGTCCGCAGACATACCGCTGTGCCACTGGAGGGCTATGTTAGAAAGATTCCTTTTATTGACTGATTCATAACGAGATATTTAAAAAAATAATTAATTGTAAGGCTGGATTCTATTTTGATAACAGGGACATTGACCGTATCGAAAGTGGCAGCGTAACTGAATTAAAAGCACTATTATTAAAATATATACATATTATATCTCTATTTTATAATTTAATGTAAAAACTTTGGTTGTTAAAAAAACACATGATTTTAATAAATATACAAAAAATTGTGGCCCAAAGGTGATAAGGACCCATATGGATCATTAATTTATTAGAATTGTTAATTTTTAGCTCTGGGGCTTTTCATAGCTTAGGTAATTTAACCTTTTATTGTCACGTGGGTCATATACGGCACGTACTATTTGAATAGCGTTTACTCATACACGTAAACTGGAGATATCACACACCAGGGGGGGGGGGGGTTCTTATACATTTCGCACTCAACACAACAAATAAATACTTTCTGAATAATTTTTCATTTTTTTTTTCTATCATTCGATTGATTTGAGTCCAAACGAGGTTAAGGACTGATAAAACACCATCAGTTTCTGCGGTTCAAATTGGAAATTACTCATACAATACAGAACGTGTCTCATTGTTAGTCTCTAAGACTCATTACAATGATGTTTTGTATTATTTAACGTTTTGGTTGGTTTCTAAGGCCCCTTCTTTTTTTTATTTACATTGTTGAAGGTTTTAATTGTTTAAGTGAATCACGGACGTGAGCTGGTCCAAAAGCATTTGTAAAATCCACACAGTGGTCAAATTAGGATTCTGAAAGAGGTGGAATTCCCCTTTTGTGATCCACTTTAATATTCCTATCAGACAAACAGGAACGTTAATAGTTTCAATCCTCAAGAGGCTGAACACCGTTCCGAACAAATCCGCTTCATTTAAAGCCCTTAAGACAAATGCTTAGCCCAGCGCTGCAACGCAAATTCGTCGAGTTCTCCGTTGCAAAGGTAGTTAATGAATCGTTACAGGCCCATGTTTATCTGGCGCTACATTTTATTTTATTGTGCAAATCTCGTCTCTTTAACAGCATGGTTTACACTCCAATAATGTTAATTATCATTTTCTTCTGATCAAAGAAACCTACGTACATAGATCAGAATTAAAAATTATCCCAGGAGTTAATACAGCTAATATGATATCACGGTCTAACTAAAAACTTTTAATACTTTAAAAGGGGTAGAATGAGAAACCAACAGGCCTAGGATTTGTGACAGAAATTACGTAAACTGCAGGTTTTTCTGCGTCTCCGTGTTTCTTTTAATTTGCCCATTTTGCATTCGAGATCAGAAGTATTTAAAGTAGCATTTGAGATCCATCTTTTTGTTTCTCATTGTCCAGCCCAACTGACGAGTTCTGGCATTGAAAGAAAGACTTCTTGGACAGTGACTTGTCAGAAATAAAAAGACAGATCTCAAATGCTGTTTTTACACGCCTCTGATTTGGAATCCGAAATGGACAACCTGAGAGGAATGCTACACCTAACAAGAATAATTAAAATTTAGCAATAATCTGTTGAAGAACGACGCGGGGTCATTTCTGGAGATTAACAAGGCACCAGTGTGTTAGACTGGCTTTGTATCTCTGGATGCAATATTTTTAGTGTTAAGAAACTCACGAGAAGAAAGCAAGAATAGTGTGGTAATCACTTATACCGAAACGCCCTTAACAAATCACGTTGCTATCGAGTTTGAGAGTGTTTCTGTTAGGCTAGTAAGCTTGTTCACTGTTATCAATATGGAAAACACTGTTGCTCACCGTCAGTTTCGTATTATAAGTCCCAAATGTGGGAAATCATATAAACATTCAACTCTATCTGCGACCCATTCATCTAGTTTTTCAAAAGTCCTGGCCTTCGAGAGACAAATGAATATGAGAACGATTTGTTTGTTTTGAATTTCACGCAAAGCTACACGAGGGCTATCTACGCTAGCCGTCCCTAATTTAGCAGTGTAAGACTAGAGGGAAGGCAGCTAGCCATCACCACCCACCGCCAACTCTTGAGCTACTCTTTTACCAACGAATAGTGGGATTGACCGTCACATTACAAGCCCCCCCCCACCCACACACACACGGATGAAAGCGCGAGCATGTTCGGCGAGGAGGATTCGAACCCGCAATCTGCAGATTGCGTGTCAATGACCTAACCACCGGGCCATGATAAGCCCCTTTTATTTATTAATTCCTTTTCTCTCACCTTTCACATCTTATACATTATTTTGCTTCTGTATATAACTGAAGAGACAATCTTCAATATTATTGAAGGCTGAGAGGGTATTACACACCACTCATGACATTTGAGGGTGTTATATACACCATTCGTGAGGGTGAGTCTATTCTTTACGTTTTTGGAGTACATTTTAATATATATACACATATCTGTATAAATAAATCAATATATCTAATACTATGAAATACATTAATTGTCCATAGGCGATTGAAATCAGCACTATGAAATAATAATGAACTT